CTCGACCTGACTGTCTACAGCCCCCTCGCTATCACCCACTATCCCGACAATGTTAACTACTCTCCTGACGTGCTAGAATTTAATCTAGTTAAGGAGTCTCCCTTAACCTTAGAGCAATCGAGTCTCTCGATGATCTAGGATCCGACCACCGTCCTGTATCCCTCCTTCTTGGCCATCAGCCATCTCCAACCCCCACTTCCAAAACCTACACCAACTGGAAGGGCTTCAAGAAGTCTCTAGCTTCGGCTATAGACTCTCCGGACCCTCCCATAACCCTTTCTTCCGACGTCCTCGACAGTACGGGGAAAATAGACACCGCGGTCGAAAATCTCACCTCACTTATAACATCCTCTCTTAAAGAGAATGAAAAGGTTGTCCCGGTTGCTAAAACTAGTCTTCCCCTAGATATTAGCAACCTGCTAAAAGCCAAAAACTCCCGAATATAGACTCGCGGCCCACCGCCTTCAACGCAAACTCCGTTACCGCCTCCAAGATTACAGAGACCTCGAAAGGGGCAATCTCATGGAGAAAATCTCTCCCTCCCACACAGCGTACTACCAGATGGCGAGAGCCCTCCGGATAGACGCTATGACGCATACTCCCCCTCTCTCTCGTCCCGAAGGCTCTATTGCCTTCAAGGACGAAGAAAAGGCTGAGTGCTAGCCGACAGCGTAGCCGCTCAATGCTCTCCCAGCTCACAACCCACTGACCCCATACACATCCAACTAGTGGAGGACGAGGTCCGTCGCCGGAACACGCCCCCTACCGCCTCTGACCCTATCACTGTGTCCAAAAATGAGATTTCATCTACCATCAAAGGACTTAAGCCCAAAAAAGCACCGGGTGCGGATGGCATCTCCAACCAAGCACTCAAATACTTTCCGGAGCAGGTGATCGCCTTATTGGCCATAACCCCACAGCTTTCCCACCTCTTGTAAAGAGGCAACTGTCATTGGTATTCCCAAGCCAGGCAAACCTCACCACCTCCCCTCCAATCACCGTCCCATCAGCCTCCTCAAGGCCATGGGCAAACTTTTCGAACGAGTCATTCTCGTGCGCATGAGGCGCCATTTGTTTCCCACAGATGGCGACCCTCTTGTCATCCCACAACAATTCGGGTTTCGAGCCAAACACTCGTGCCCCCAGCAAGTTCACCGCATAGTGGAATATATCCTCAGCGGTTTTTATCCTCGTCGTCAAAAAACCATCGCAGTCGTCTTCGACATTGCCAAGGCATTCGACAGAGTCTAGCACGAGGGTCTTATCTACAAATTGTACGCCTTAAGCCTCCCAGACCGTCTCGTTCGCCTTGTAGCCTCCCATCTGAAGGATCGTACCTTTCGCTTTAGACACGAAGGCACGCTATCCTCTACTCGTCAAATCAAAGCCGGTGTCCCTCAAGGCTCTGTGCTTGCCCCCCTCCTATATATACTATTCACCAACGACATCCCTATCCCGTCGAATGGTGTTAAACTAGCCCTCTTCGCAGATGACACAGCCCTTTACTCTAAAGGCAACTCACTGCCACAGATTCGGAACAAGATCCAAAAGTCAGTAAGCGACTTAGAAGCTTGGTTCCAAAAATGGCGTATCGACGTAAACCCGGAGAAGAGCTCCGCCATTTGCTTCAAATATAAACGACGCCGTCTCACCACCACTCAGCAAATCAGGATGTTAGGAACCTCTGTCCCATAGCAAACTACAGCCAAATATTTAGGCGTCACCCTTGATGCAAGGCTCACTTTCGAACCCCATATCAAGAAGGTTACTCGCACCGCACGATTTTACATGGGTAGGCTCAACAGCATGTTGGGCAGACACAGTAAAATGTCCCTCCGCAACAAGCGAACCCTATATAAGGTCTGCATACGACCTGTCATTACCTACGCGGCCACCATTTTCGCACATGCTAAGCCCAAAGCTATAAATGAACTTCAAATAGTTCAAAATCTATTCTGTCGTAGGGCCACTAACTCGCCCTATTATGTCCGTAATGCCGACCTACACCGAGACTTAGAGCTTCCAACAATCCAGCAGTTCCTTAAATCACTCTCTGAGAGATTTTTCAAAGCCTCAGAGTCCCACCCAAATCATCTCATTCGTGAGACAGTTGCCTATGCAGCCCCTATCCACACTCGCTATAGTGTTCGCTGACCGAGAAACTCTCTCTCGGACCCCCCCAACAAGCTTTCGGCTGACCTGAACTGCCTCCTGGCGGCTCAGGCTGAGCCTACATAACACATCCCTTAATCTGCCTTAGTTAGACACTCGTCTAAGCGGCTTTTCGCCGCTTACGCCCTCCTTTCTGCCAAGGAGGGTCGCGTTCGTATACAGCTTAGAGATCTCTAGTTAGACCGTTAAGCCAGTCCCTAAAAGGTGGGGTTTAGTGGGTAAAAGTCTCCACATAACCATGCTATGAGCATCCTCCCCCGTTTTCCGGAGGGTTGCCCATATTTGCTTCGGGCGCAAAAAAAAACCGTTTTGTCACAACTAATTATTAAGCTGTCTATTTAAATTTTAATCTCGTATTTTTGTGTGGCAAATAAATACTTTTTATTTATTTATTTATTAAATCTTGCCAGTACCTCGCTTCAAGAACCTTATTGAGCGAAATAGAAACTTCTTAAAATTTCTTTCTTGCATTTTTGCATTGCATTTTTTGAACATGATAGTGATTTAAAAATCATCTAACTAACTTTATGCATAATAATATTTCTTCACCTATGAAATTGCCGTTCTGCAGTACTGGCAATTTCAAATCAAAATATTTTTTGTTTGGCAGAATTCTAATTTTAAATTAATTTTATTTTAAGAAAATGGTATTCTTTTTTTCAAATTTAGCCATTTGTTTATTGATTAGCGTTATAGTTTCATCGCATTTGAATCATTATCATCCTCATGGATACGTTAAAAATATCGAGTAAATATGGAATATGAGTACGTATCTACTCTTGTGGCAGCAACGCGGCACAAGCGACACGCAACATCAACGACGTGTTATCGGTTTGTCCGCTTCCGCTCTGGAGTTTTCGTACTGAAAAATTAACCCCGTGGTCGTCCGAAAACTTTGGTCGACAATGCCAATAAGGGCGATTTTGGAAGCTGATGATACTCAATCTACGGCTGAATTAGCAGCCACTTTCGACATTAGCATTAAAACCATATTGGTCCATTTGCATCAAATTGGCAAGGTAAAAAAGGTCTTGACAAATTGGTGCACCACGAAGCCAATGATCGCTTGCGTCATGCGTGTCGAAACGTGCCTTGCACTGCTCAGCAGGCAAACGTAAGAATTTCAAACCGCTTTGTTACCTGCGACGACAAATGAATTCTATTTGACAATCGCATGCGCTTAGCAAGTTAGTTGGATCCTTGTTCAGCACCTAAACAATGCCCTAAACGAAAACTTACTCCTAGAAAAGTGATAGTCACTGTTTGGTGGTAGAGCGCCGGTAGAAATGCTTATCCCATTTGGTAAGAAGCTGTGATTCATTATGTATTAATTATCATGCTTTCACGTGTTTCACGCATGGTAGGCTCAACCGAAGCATTCAGACTTAGTCCTCAGAGGTGACAACGTATCTGCATTTCGATTCCGACAATAGACTCAGCTATCCGTGTGTCACAGCTTCTTACCAAATGGGATAAGCATTACTGCAGATGTGCACTGTGAAGAACTCAACACACTGATCGAGATGCTCGCACGTCTCTAACTAACTTTGGTCAATCACTCGTCCCCGCTGCTCCTGCACAAGCACGCGCGACCTACTGCACAACAGACGATTTCCAAGTTACAAGAGCTGAGCTTGACAGCTCTACGTCATCCATCGTACTCGCCAAAATTTACGCCTACCTACTTATACTTTTTATAGAATTTGGATGACTTTTTGGAAGAATTTGTTGCCTCCCGTCCAGCTGATTTCTTCAAGAAACTGAACTTTGTTGACAGAAAAAAAAATATAGAAAAAATTACATTAACTTATTTCATAAAAAACGACAATTTCATAGGTAAAGACCGAACAAAACACTACATTCTGAAGAGATTCACAAATAGATACTCATTCTTTAAAAAAAATATATTTTATTTAATATGCAATGTATTAAAATAAGAGTACGAAATGCATGAACACAAAATTCTATTTGTCACGTGCACGAGTTCTCTGGAAGTTAAACATTTACGATAGGTACTTAATGTCCTCCAGACCGAATTCCGGCCACGGCGGCCTGCCTCAACGAAAGCTAGCCATCGGCGCAGGACAGGATTATAGTGCCCAAGTGTATGCGCAAGCACAGGTGCACTCTCTATTCCCTCACTCTCATAACACGATGGGACGGTAAACCGACACGACCGGAGAGAGATCAGGCGCAGGACCAACGGCTTTACGTGCTTTCCGAGGCACGGGGGTGAGACACCGCCAACTTCCTGACTCTGGGCAACTACTGAGAATTTCTTAGCCGAAAAACTCAATAATTAATTTTTTGGCCCGACCCGGGATTCGAACCCAGGATCTCATGATCAGCAGTCACACTACTACAACCACTAGACCAATGAGGCAGTCTATAGATAGGTACTTATATGGTTAATGTGTGTAGGTCCTAAAATAAGAAAATGTCTGCATCTGCGATATATTTTCAAAATAATCACAATAAATTATTGGATTAAGTGCAAAACAGTCAAATCAACTTTTCTTTTTAATTTCCTTCTCTTTGTCTATCTGCAATTTTTTTCCACCACGATTCCTGTAAAGTATTTTGAAATTAAATTCATGTTGTATATCGATATTAGAAATCTTTGCGAATAGGGAAAAAGCTTCACATTCGATTACGTATAAAAAAGTAATAAATTAAATACATAACAAAAAATACAAATATTTAATACTTTACCAATAGTACGGTTAAACCAAAAGTTTACACAAACAAAACAAGAAATACACTACTCAAAAGAAAATTGTCACACAAACGTTATATATTTAAGTTATAATTATTAAAAAAAATCACAACTACTCTTTTTTCTTTTCTCCTCTTTCCAGTTTTGCATCTTCTTGTATTATTTTTCTAACGGGTCCTGTGTGTGAGACGGGCACGATTCTTTCACCTTTCTGCGAATTAGCTTTCATTAGCGCTAGAACTGTTAAAACACCGTCGGAAGAAAGTCTCGATTCGATAGCTTCTGGATTAACGTCATCTGGAATCTTGAAACGCCTCACAAACTGTCTAGATATAAAACCGTGTTCATCACTTTTCTCGTCATGTTTTCCCTCCACGACAATGAATCCATCCGACGTCTTAACCGATATCTCATCTGGTGCAAAATGATGAACGTCGATATTAACCTGCCACTTATCCTTGTTAGTTTTTAAAGAGGATTCTAAGTTTTCTGGCCACCACCATTTAAAAGTCGGAAACAGCGGGCTGCTCCTCGCGGATAATATATCTTCAGGACTAAATGCCATTCCGAAAGCTTGGTTCATAAGCCGCCGCGACCAGTGTGGCAAGTCGTAGTCAAAACAGTAAGGAATTAATGACATTTTACCGATTAATTTTCAAGCGCTCCTGTCCACGTTAGATTTCAGTTTGAATCCACGCGTACATTCTGCTTTTATATATTCACTGTGGCAATTTCATTGGATTGTAAGTGAAGGCACGAGAATATTCTTTGGTATAAGCTGCATGCGAGTGTATTACGTCATTTGTTTATTTTGATTTTGATACTACTAGCTAAAAATAAACGCAGGATGTCAGTGCTCTGGACAGTTCCAGACGCCTTGAACATAAAGATAACTTATATTATTCGATGCTTCATGTCAACGTTCCCGACCAATAATAAACATACCTATCATTAAAAATAAATGAAATGTAACATCAATCATAACGAAATAATTTTCACATTTACAATATGTAACGTAATTAACGCACACCCTCAGACACCCCAATTAGTATCTTATGTTATATCATAATACATACACTGAATTTTTAGTTAAACATTTTTATGCACTCATTATTTATCAAATTAGTTATACTAATTCCGGAAGAATGTTGTGGTCACAGTACAAATCCACGAACGCAAAGACTTTAACGTGCTTGAAATAAAGTTCGTTTTTCTTTATTTTCATTGAATGACAGAAGTAGTAATAATACAAATAAAACTGCACTCTTAAAAATTTTATTGCCTTAAGTTACGATCAATTTCAGTTTGTTTTGACTGTACAGATTTAGTGTGACTGTAATTTACGTAGTTTTAATTATTTTTGGGATAAAAAATTACCTATATTAAAAATGATGGGAATCGATTCAGTAAACGATTCTGAACAAACTACTTTCTCAAAGTGCGTTAATTATGTTACGTGTTGTATATTTAAACCTTTTTTTAAACTTGTTTTTCTTTTATCAGTTGTCTTTTTTCCCTTCTCGTTTATCGTTACACACCTTATTCGACTCACATCCTTCAACTGGAATAAAGGGGCCATCGGTGTTGGTACGACGCTCTGAATATGAAGTTGGTATTAAGGTCTCCTGAGGTAAATTCGCATCGTAAGGCTTCCTCGGAGCTGTTATTGTTAATATTCCATCCGACGATAGTTCCGACTTCATCGTGCTCGGACTGCAGCCATCCGGTAGCTTGAATTTCCTAACAAATTGTCTCACGACTTGGCCACTTTTTGATTTACGTTCCAACTTGCCTTCTATAATTACGTATTCTGGAACAGCTTTTACACAAATTTCCTCCCTTTTGAACTGATGTACATCTATGCTGATTTGAAATCTATCTTTGCCTATTTTAATAAGTGGTCGTAAGCTCCTTATCCGTCTTATAGAAGAATATAAATTTGGATAAAATTTTATAGGCAAAAAAGGACTTAAAATCATTGTTATTTCAAATGTACAACTTAAATCCTTTTCTTAATATTAACACGAATTTGTAATTATTATAAAAATATTAATAAAGCATTTTATGAGATAATACTGTTATATATATTTTAGAAATTTAGTACATTATGCCATTCGTTGACACTTGCATACTTGTCAGTTTTTATCGTTTATTATAAATATAGATTAATAATATACACTGTAATGTTTTCTTACTAAGATATTATTCATTTTTTTTTTGAAAATTAAAATCAAAAATACCATGCTATAAGCATTGTATATAAAACTAAAATAAAGTTACAACTTATACTTACGGCTATGTAACCCTGCTGCAAAAATCTAGCTGGCAACACAATGTTTACCTGCGTAAAATACGAGTAATAACATGATGTGGTTGTGTTTCCGTATGGAAAGACGAGAACCGAACTATTTTACTGTTATCGAGGCAGTCCGTCTTAGTCCTCAGTGGTCTCACTTATTAGCGTTTTGATTATTGATCGAAGATAGGTACCTATCACACTATCCATTTATCTTTAAGTAGTAACCTATTACAGGAGTCGCAGGGAGGGTTACAATACGATTGATTACTTGTTGTTTGCTTTACTAGTTCACAACACGAATAGCTTATAAATAATTATTGTAATAGTTTAAGGACGCGTTTGCAAATCAACCAAAATTAGGGTGTTTTTCGGTAGATTTTGTGATAAAACTAAACCAAATCAAATATAAGTAAAAACTACCATGTATAGATTGGTTCTTCATCTGCAAATGTCTGTAACTCTTTTGTTGAAAATAGTAGTTTTTTATATTGTAAAAACGAACTTTCGTTGCCATTTTCTACAAAATTAACGATACCGGCTTGTGTTTCGGTAAATGTTTTGGTCTATTATCAACATATTTAAAAAATTTAAAAAATACTATAAGATGACAGACATATTCAATTAAAAAAACCCTGGGTTTATTTTTTAACAAAATGTCACTAATAGTCGTAAAAAAAATAAAAACTGATGCACATTTTTTCGCATATTTTGGTAATATGGATGAATCATAATGTATTGCAATAAGGGCTATTTTATTGTTGGTGCCTGCTTTGATTTATTGTACAAAGATTTCGATGAAACCACAGTCCGCGCTTGGCCGCCGTCGTGAGTGGACACTGTATCGCCTGTTTGCAGCGGCTCATTCTGAAAAGATCGCTGTACATACACAAAATATTAGAAAAAAACAAATTGGAAACATAGGTACTTGACAAGTGATAAAATTATTATTTTTATACTCACAGTTTTTATTTAGCTAAAAATAAGTAGGATATATAAACTTACCTACTACTGCAACTCGTGGACGAGCGGAACTAGGTGTGCCGAGTTTGGGCTCGTTTTGTTGGTTATGATGAGACCTTACCTCTGGACTTGATGGCATGACCTGAAGGTGTACTTTCGTGACTGCTAGTTGAACTTCTTGCAGAGTAAAACTAGGGGTGACGAATTTGGGCTCCGTTTTGTTAGTTATGACGAGTCTATACCTCTGGACTTGATGGAGTGACCTGAAGGTCTAAATCGGTGATTGCAACTGGAACTCCTAGACTGGTAGAACTAGGTGTGCCGAGTTTGGGTTCGTTTTGTTAGTTACGATGAGACCTTACCACCGGACTTGATAGAGTGACCTGAAGGGGTAATTCAGTAACTACTGCTGGAATTTCTGAACGAGTAGAACTAGGTGTGCCGAATTTGGGCTTCGTTTTGTTAGTTATGACGAGTCCATACCTCCGGACTTGATGGAGTGACCTGAAGGTGTAGTTCAGTGATTACAAGTGGAACTCCTAGACTTGTAGAACTAGGTGTGCCGAGTTTGGGTTCGTTTTGTTAGTTACGATGAGACCTTACCACCGGACTTGATTAAGTGACCTGAAGGTGTAATCAGGTGGTTACAAATGGAATTCCTAGACTAGTAGAACTAGGTGTGACGAGTTTGGTTTCGTTTTGTTAGTTACGATAAGACCTTACCACCGGACTTGATGGAGTGAAATTCGGCACACCTAGTTCTACTGGTTCAGAAATTCCAGCAGTAATTACTGAATTACCCCTTCAGGTCACTCCATCAAGTCTGGTGGTAAGGTCTCATCATAACTAACAAAACGAACCCAAACTCGGCACACCTAGTCCTACAAGTCTAGAAGTTTCACTTGTAATCACCGAACTATACCTTCAGGTCACTCCATCATGTCCGGTGGTAAGGTCTCATCATAACCTACAAAACGAACCCAAACTCGGCACACCTAGTTCCACCAGTCTAGGAGTTCCAGTTGCAATCACCGATTTACACCTTCAGGTCACTCCATCAAGTCCGGAGGTATGGACTCGTCATAACTAACAAAACGGAGCCCAAATTCGCCACACCTAGTTCTACTCGTTCAGAAATTCCAGCAGTAGTTACTGAATTACCCCTTCCGGTCACTCCATCAAGCCTGGTGGTAAGGTCTCATCATAACAAACAAAACGAACCCAAACTCGGCACACCTAGTTCTACTAGTCTAGGAGTTCCACTTGTACTCACTGAATTACACCTTCAGGTCACTCCATCAAGTCCGGTGGTAAGGTCTCATCATAACCAACAAAACGAACCCAAACTCGGCACACCTAGTTCCACTAGTCTAGGAGTTCCTATTGTTGTAATCACCAAATTACACCTTCAGGTCACTCCATCAAGTCCGCAGGTAGGTAAGGTCTTATTATAACTGACAAAACCAGTTCAAAGTCCAGAGCTAACATCTCACTACCAGTAGAGGGCTTCCAGTGCCAAGCAGTCTTTGGAGCAGGTATTCATATTTCGTATCGAAGTATATTTCTGAGGTAGGTATAAGAAATGAAAAACAAATTCAATCTTTCAAATTATCAAAATAATTTCATTTGACTACGATTCCCACAACCAACCGTGCGTACACTAGTGTGTGTGTGACTTTTGTCAATGTAGTAGTGCGATTCTATACCTATCCATTTTGTAAACGCGTCCTTAAATAATATCGTACATTGGTGGTAGCCTATCCCTACGTATACATATTCTAAGTCTATGCTCTCTACTACCTACTTAGAGCATACATTACATGGAGGGAGCACTGTGTGAGCAGAAAGCGTGATCGGCGTAGAGAGAGAGAGACTGAGTTTAGGTAGAGTGAATGAAATGAAACAGCCAATGACAGTGACTGTGCGAGAGAGACAGACTCTACCTGACTGAGTTTAGGTAGATTCTGTCTCTCTCGCACAGTCACTGTCATTGGCTGTTTCATTTCATTCAATCTACCTAAACTCAGTCTCTCTCTCTCTACGCCGATCACGCTTTCTGCTCACACAGTGCTCCCTCCATGTAATGTATGCTCTAAGACTACCTATCAAAACTGAACCTAGCAGTAACACTTCGAATGTGTAAGAATTATACAATCCAAATATTTTTAAAATATGAAAATAAGTTAAAAATTGTTCTAAATATTATACTGATAAGTGAATTAATTACAATTGTTAAGAAAACGAAATTACTTAAGTAAATATTATTTTTTGTAAATATCTCAAATTCTAAATTAAAAATTAGAGAAAATTATCTATGATAATTGTTATGACAATAAAATTATTTATAATCTATTTTATATTTGATTATCAAAAAATAATAATGTAAAACAAAATATGCAATTATTAGGTTGTACTTCTCAGACGAAACATTTCGTCTGAGTTATAACCTTAGCTGGGTTGAATGGTCTAAGCTTATAACAATATAATATAAATGATGTAATCATGTAACAATCATTGATAACAGTAGACTGTGTATTTGCTTATCACCCTTATAAATAAAACGAAATTATGAAATTTTTCATTGAATAATGGAGCGACTGTTGACTGAGATATGTATGATAAAGTCACGGACATCCTGTTTATCCCATTGGGCTTAGGAAAAACTTTTAGGAAGGCATGCTAAGAGGCTTATAGGTGATCCGAATTTGGTTAAAACCAACCATCATGGAATTTAATGGTACGCCAGTAAAGAGAATCCTGCTAGCAATAGTAAAAATATTAATTGCAGTTTTAAATGTTTCAAACCCTAACCCAAACATCGGTAGAAACGTTAACCCAGCTTCGGATAGATCCCACTTTAGGCTATTACTTGACTTTTTATAGCTGTAATTTTAATTTTTTTATCCTTAGACATTTTATTTATCATAATACATAATTCTATTACACTTTTGGTTTGAGATATTAACACAAAAATTTAATAATTAAAACATCAATGTAGAGTTTCTATGTAACATGTAAATTGCATAGAATAATAACATATTCTATGGTAAATTGCCCATTTTAACGAACTCTACAATAACAGAACCATTACATAAGATTTCAACGTGCGTGCGCATTTAGTTAGGTATTGATTAATATTTGTGACATGATTAATGTGTATTGATTAACTTTGTGAATACAATGCAAGACCAGTTCTTGCAGCCTCTTCGTGTCAATACGTTTTCCTGTTTTATCATAATAGTACATAAATCGAAAATAACGTCTACGCTCATGAATACACGTAAGCCAAATGCACAGAGTACCTTTGTATAAACTGAAAGCCAAATGTTTTTTCTGTCCCGGTAAAGTCCCAGTCTTTAACAATAATAGATACGATAAGTATCTATTATTAGTAGATGTAGATACGATAAGTAATTATCGTATCTACAGCGAAAACAAAACTTTTTGCATGTTTTACTCTTAGTGTCTTACACGGATTTAGAGAAGAGGTGTCCGTATATGTGGGGGTCTTATAACCAGTAGAAAACGTACTAATGCTTTATCATTCCAGTACTTAGGGTACATGAATATTATGGTTACTAGCACGTGGTAGTATAATTCTTACATGTAATGGCGGTGAAAGAATATCCACTATCCAATATAATCCCGTGGGTATCGTAAAAGGCGACAGAGGGAAATTAAACGAGAGGAGATGGACATCTTCCTAATGACAGCTGATAA